GCAGAGTCAGTCGTTGCCGAGCCCTCGAGGAACCGTACACAGGCAAACCGAACGTGCCTGGCTCTCGAGGGGACTTCGATCGAGCCGCGTTCGCATCGACCGCTACCGACAGCTGCCACTGGCCCTTCCAACACACTCCTGCCGCCTCGCCACGATCGGCTTATCCGCATGCACCCGGAGAGGGAGGACGGAGAGAAGTCCGGTAGAAACGAGAGAACGATAACCGACGCGACGCGACGCCAGGCGACGCGGCGCGGCGCGGCGCGTCCGCCGCCAGGATGCACCCGACACGCGGCGCGACGCCCAGCCCACGAATTTACTCACTGACAGGACTACCGTCCCTCTTCGATTTATATCGCTTCCCCGAGCACCGACGAAGTCTTACAAATCGCGCCGGACGTTCCAGGAAACGTGTCACGTTTCGAGCGCGATGCCCGTGCGCGAGGGAATACTCACGCGGTACTCCTGACGTGATTCACGCGGTACTCCTGACACTCCTCTCATGATGCATAGAAACTGACTCTCGGTGATCTATCCGCTTCTAAGAATCTATTTCACTAATACCGAAACGATCCTGGCGTCAGCTTTCCGCGTGAGTCGCGTTTGTCGCGGCACGTTCGAAGATTGCCGCCTTCGAAAATCGCGACCCTTTCGAACCGACGACCACGTGATCGCGGAGCGCTCGTCTCGTTCGTTTCGAATCGCGTCGAACGGACGCGGGAACCGAGAGAATAGCGGAGCGAAGCTCCGACAACGAGCGGAATCGGTATCCCTAGTTCCGGGGCGAAATCCTCTCGAGGCTGGATACTCACGCACCAGAACGGCATCGCTCCTGTAGATCGTGGCTACGTCCAGGTACCAATTAGAGGCTCCATTTGTGTCGGAGAGAAGCGAGTTCTTCCCTTGATGGAGGCACTGCGCGTCAGCCGGAAGAAACGCACCCCGAGCGAGCTTCCGTGGTCGGGAACCCAACGCGGATGGACGCGGACGGGACCAGGGGACTTCCGAGCACGTGGCTCTCGCCTCTCGCGTAACTCTCACGTTAACACGCCGATTGTCATCGCGACTGCTGCACCATCGGGGCAGGTCGTTGTTCCTGGCGGTGGCGCCAGGCAGCGCGGTTAGTCCTCCGCGAGAAGTCCCGGTTATCCGGCTCTTGCTCTCTCCCGTCGGCCGATCAGCGTCCGCTCCGCGTCCCGAAACATGAATGGAATGCTTCCCCTGGCGGCCGATGTACGCGAGAGAAGACGGCTCTGGAATGGAATGGGCCGGGAGAGTCTTCGGGCCAGGGCCGGATCATTATTGTCGGAGCCCTTCGTAGGGCGAGCGACGACCACCCGACGGCCAAGGGCTTCCACGGGCACCGGCGACCCCTGACCGCTCCGCGCGCCCCTTTCTCGCTCGTTCCACGCTCGAATTTCCGGGACGGAACCGCCGACGGCGGCTATCGGGGAAATTTTATTTGAAATTGAAATGAGAAATAACGAGGCGATACGCGCTCTATCCGGCCGGTCAAATCGATCGCGATAACGGGAACCCGAGCGTGGACGAAATACCGCTTGGAATGCCGATCGGGAGATAATGGAACATAGATTGGGCGATGCGAGGGATCGTTCGTTGTAACATAGGCTGCTCGTTCGCTGCATCGCGTTCAATCGCTTCGGTCGATGGGTTTCGTATGATTTTCATGAGGTTTGTACTTTATCCCGTCACCGTTACATTTCTCGCTCGTCGCAGGCGAATATCGATGCACCGTACGTGTCTCGTGTCCGTTTTTTCAACGCCCTGTATACGTGATACGAATTCTGGAGTCACGAGCCGGGCTCGCCGTTACGTGCCTACTCCGTTTCGTCGGATTAGTAGATCCGGTTGGAATTGCGTAGCGCGACGAGCTCGTTGAATCACGCTCGTAAATTTTTGGCAGGCTTCCCTCCGCGCCGGCCCTCGCCACGAGTTTCCGCGCCCGCGAGCCTACGCTTTTTGTTTTCCGATCGAGAGAGATGTCCGGCGCCGCGATCAACCGAGACGTCACTGTCGCGCGAGGACACGGGAGCGGGGCGGGAAATCATTTCGCGCATCTGCGTGTGACTAAGACGCGGCGCGACGTGCAGCAACGATTAC